CTGACTTTCCTCTGTACTTGAAATAAATGCCTTCCCTTATTATCTCTATTCCACTGCTCCTGCCATCTCTGCACCATCACTGTATATATCAGTCTTTTTGCCTCTGCCTTGCTCATTGAAACTTCAACATTAACATCCCCACTACTAAGTGCTTGTTTAGCCTGTTATGGGGGATTTATTATTCTCCTAATTGATGGGATGACTAACTTAGAAAGAATGCATTCTGGACTGTGCTGATGTAGGTTGTGTCACCTGGCAAGCTGTGATTGATGTGAAGAGCTGTTTTAGGTTTTAAGATAAGATAATAATTTATGTCTCCAAATACTAGACTATACTGGTTATTTGTGATCTGTGAACCTTCTTTGGACGTAGGAATGGTGTCTAGGGGAGCTGGCTCTTCTCACTATGACAGGTTGTTATGATAAACGTATGCCTGGAAACAGGGATGCGCTAAGAGGCGGGGAACAGCCAGTGCGCCAACGGATAGGCTGAGTAAGTCTAAACCACGCTCAAGTCTCTACTCTGATTGGCCAGCAGAGAGGTGGGAAACTCTCTCTCTGTCAGAGTATTTGAGGAAGAACCTAAAACAATGGATTTAGTTCTCTGAAGTGCCCTGCGAGGTATTTCAAGGAGCCCGTATATACGAAACATCATATTTACCATTGAAGGTTTTTGCATTAATTAAAATAACTAGTATATCTTAGAAGTCGTGTTGACCTCTTTTGTTCCTAATGCCAGATTTGAATTGACGCAACTTTGACACTGTTCATCTACTGCCTCTTTCCCCTCCACCCCCACATGGGCTGGGACCCAAGTAAATCTTATCTGTATACCCATCTGTTTAATCCTGCCATGGGTTGTAGCACCTCATAAAGCAAGTATTATCTGCTACGTGAGCTAAAGGACTGGAGACTCATTAACACTGCACATGAATCAGAGCAAATAACTACTCTGTCTTGTTTGACTTCCTTCACCCACTGCAAGGCCAACAGTATGGCCATCAGCTCCGCCGTATATACAGCCAGATGATCTGTAATATGTTTCCTGACCCCACATTCCTGCACTACAAATGCTGATCCAGTACGTCCTGTCCTTGGATCTTTTGAACCATCTGTGTAAATGGCCACAACATCCTGATACACAGTATCCAGACGTCTCTTAAACAAATCAGATGGATCAACACCCTCCCTATCTTTCTGTAGTCTCCAACACTTCTAGATTAAGTACTGGAGACCGGAGTAGCACGAGTGTATTACAGGCTGGGCACATCAATTAATCCTAGAAGATAGTGCAGATCTAGCGCCCACTACCGCCTGCCTAGTCTAGCGAGAATAGACGCTGGCCCAAAAATCAACTAACCAAATTAAGGCATCTTCGACCAAATCTGTGTGCTGACACAATCCTTTGTATTTTCATGTTTATTTTTTTTCACACACAGTGACATTTGTCCCTCTGAGCTCTTGCTGCGTTCATGTGCTAGTCGGAACTAGGAAACTCGGAAATGAAGAACAGAAGAAGCGTGCACTGGACCTGTCAAAATTGTCAACGTCATAAGTATTGATCTTCGGAGCAGGGCGCGCCTGCCAAGGGAGTTATAGCTGGAGTCTAGTTGGATATAGTTGACGAGTACATTAGTCATAAAATCCCAGGAGTGGTCAGTGCACGTTGCCTGACCCATTTTTACATTTACATTTTAGACCCGTATGGTAAATGAAGGAAGGAGAAAAGCCTATCGATATTATTGTTGTTTGAGGAGACTCTACCTGAATATGTGAAGCTTGGATATGTGAGGTATGCGGTGAGAGCATTTGTGTCCAAACAATTACAGTGTGGGAATTGTAAAGGATATGGTCACATGTCAAATGTTTGCAGAAGGGAGAAGTGTAGTATTGAAGAATCTGTCAATGGAAAATGTTGCAACTGTGGTAGGACTTCTTTGAGTGCCCTGTTAGGGTGAAGTAGGTCAAGGTGTGAAGGATCAGGGCTGTGCAGCAGATCTCCTATGTGGAGGCGGTGAAGAGAGTCGAAGGGGCAAGAGGCAACAGTGTTGAAGATATGGCGGTGGATGCAATCAAATCAAATCAAATTGTATTTGTCACATGCGCCGAATACAACAGGTGTAGACCTTACAGTGAAATGCTTACTTACAAGCCCTTAACCAACAATGCAGTTTTAAGAAAGAATACCAACAAAAATTAATAATAAAGTAACAAATAATTAAAGAGCAGCAGTACAAATAACAATATCGAGGCTATATACAGGGGGTACCGAGTCAATGTGCGGGGCACCGGTTAGTCGAGGTAATTGAGGTAATATGTACATGTAGGTAGCGTTATTAAAGTGGTGTTTTAAGTTGCTAGTGTTTTAAGTTAATCGAGTGATCTGGATACACTCATTGTGAAGACAGTGGATTTTGTGGCATATATAGCCACAGTGATTAATTGTACAGCACAAGTGTCTAAGAAGTCCAAGAAGCAGAACATCATTATATCCATTAGCCGCAAGGTTTTTGGGGCTCAAAGACTTCACGGCAGAAGCACTGCAAGGACTATTGTCGATAGGTAATGAATGTCCCGCTATCGCAGGAGTCTTTTGAGCCTAAAAAGCTTGATTTTGTTTAGCAAATTTCTTTTTTTATAGTTTGTATGATATTTGATTAATTTTTTACACACATGATTTCCTTTTTGGGAGCCTTATTATTCACCTGCAAACTAGGTGGTGGAATGCACATCAAATAGGCCCTTTTCACGATGACGTCATCTAACTTCCGCCTTTCCGCGTAGCAGGTTAACTTCACTTCCGTTCGCCCGTAACCTGAGACTTCTCAACGAAAATACAACTGTTGACCACTAACTAGCAAGCTAGCTACTTGAAGAAATTCCAAAAGGTACGTTTAAGTTAAATTAGTAAAGTTAAGAGTAATAATGTTTACGTATATGCAATGGTTTGTAACTTGCTAACGTTATTGTTAATTCATAATTGTTCACTGCCTTAGTTACTTAAAAGTGGGCTAACGTTAGCTAACAACAACTTAGTACCAGATACCGATAACGTTAAAAGGTAGCGTTACATTGCTGCCTGGCTGTAATGTAACAAGTTTACTTAGCTAGCTATCTAACCCTTTGTTAGGCAGTTAGTTTATTCATGAATGTATAGTAACTCACCTATTCAAATACTGTTGTGCATGATAGCTAGATAAATATTGATTCCTGGTCAAAGCTGAATGTTAATTTAGCTGTTTCTTTTCTCCCGGTGTCTGTATCGCAACAGTATCCCATCCAACACCGAAGCATGGCACAATCTTCGAGAAGATGCTATTGCAGTGTACCATTTTGTTCAAACAACAAACAGAAATTCCCGTATCTGAGTTTTCACGATTTCCCTGTTGATGGAGAAATACGTGCCCGTTGGGTGAGGGCGATCAGGAGAGATGAGGGACCAAGTTTTAAGATTCTTCGTGGGAGCACCTTTGTTTGCAGTCAGCACTTTCCCCCTGAGGATAGATACACATCGGCCAGTGGACGGATCCGTATTAAACAGGGATCAGTGCCGTCTAGATTCCACTGGAATGATTGGGGTAAGGATAGGTAGAACGTAATACTACTGTAATCCAATAATATATTACTTGTACAAAATGTTTAATAATTTAATCCTGATGCAATATAGCTGCTGTCTTAAAGCCCATGGTAACATAGTGAGCACTTTGAAAAAGAAGTGCTACTATGTGATTACATAGTGCTTTCCCAGCAGAGCAGGAACATGACATGTGATTGAGTACCACAGGAACCTCTGCAGAGTCTAGTGTAACCTGTTCATAGAGACATAACAATTAGTGCTGTACTTACAAAACATTTTTTCTGCGTTTCATTATAAACTACTGTACACAATTTTCAAAACCCAATTTCTTTTTTTAATTAAGAAAAATTGGCTGTTCTGAAACCTTTGACAAGTAGTGCCAACACTTATCGAAAATTTGAACATTTTGAGTTATCACAGAATCTTTCCCAGTCTTTATTGCCGTCAACAACCCACATCGGTTTGTAAGAATTTCGTTGTGTATTAAGTTTAATGATACAAAATCAGAGCTCAGACTGAGAAACAAACTGATCCACAGTGGAACTTTGTGGAATCATTCTTATTAAATCTGCAACCGCAGCAAAACACAACAAAAAGAAAACTTATCTATCTTAACCTATCTTATCATAATGTTAGAGAACTGTTTATCTGAGAAACCTGAAGCCGATGAGCCTCCTCATTTTTCTTCATGGACCTGTAACATCGCCCTCTCACTGTCACCTCACCGTTAACTACACTTGAGACTGTTTCAATACAGTGATTGGGAGAAAGGGCGCAGCATTAGCCATTAATACATTACTGACTCTTATCTTACGGTCGATACAAACAGCAGTAATATTAAAAAGAGGCTGCAAAACAGAAACTCGTCAGCTCATAACCTTCGCTAGCATAGGGCTAATTTAAGCTAAATAAAGATAAACACGTACCTTCATAATCAAACAGGTAACCTTCAACGAAGAACTTGTAGCCTTTATCAAGCTTCGATCTTGAAGTAAGGGACCACTTGTCAGCAAGTCGTTCTACGTCGTTAAGTCGTATTGGTGGCAGATGTGAAAGGGACTGGGTGAACTCCATAATGATGTGCTACTAGCTAAGCGTTCCTAAGCGACACCGGATGTAAACATAACCTGCATCGCGGCAGAACGGAAGTTGTCTGACGTCACGTGAAAAGGGCCTATTGTTGCGAACGCCCTTATACCATAGAAGAAGAATAAGAATAAGAATAAATAGTCAGTCATTATTTACCCATGATGCGTCACGGTTTTGATGCTATCGAACACGGCCAATGTCTGTGGTTACGCCTGTGTAGCTAGCTACACGCTGTGAATTCTCAAAGCGTGTGCATTTTACTCATTTTACAGGTGTTTTGCATGGTGCAGTACCGCTAGCTTTCATCTAATTTTCTGAAGACACTACTCAAAGTCATGGGTGAACCCGTGGCTGAAATGTGTGATCAGCTCATCAAAGCTGTGAACGTGATGATGGACGTGGAATCTAGCCAAATATATCGTCTGGAGGCCCTAAAGGTATCTTGATGGCTAGATGCTAGCTTGCTAACGTTAGCTGGTAAGGTAGCCAGCAGATGGGTAGTTAACTAGATAGCTAACGTCAGATGGCTAGCATCCATAATGTTACCCTTCCCATCATGTTGCCAGCTGCGGATTTCATTCATTGCACACCGCTAGCTAGCTAGAGCCATTGCTGCTGCCTAATGCCCAAACTGAATGCAAGATCATCTAACGTAATGCCAACCATTTAGCCTAGTTATATTGATTGCGTTGGATCAGCTGAGTTATGCATTGTTTTGAGACCTTCTTACTAGATTTCTAGCTATCTAGCAGCCAGCCAGCTGCTGGCAAGCTTTACCTCCTAATTATCTATGTAAAGCTCCATAAACTACATTGATAGCTATGACGGATATCATTGCAAGTTCACCATTTTGATGTTTTATTCATCCATACATGTGAATGACTTTGTACTACACCTATCTGGCTAGGTAGATACAGTAGTTAACTGAGTGCATATTATTAACTTGTCTCTTTTTTTCTTTTCAGTTTTGTGAAGAATTCAAAGAGAAGTGTGCCTTCTGTGTCCCATGTGGGCTACAGTTAGCAGATAAAACTCAAACAGCAGTGGTGAGGCACTTTGGTCTACAGATACTGGAGCACGTCATAAAGTGAGTATATGAGTATATTGGACATTGTATAATTCACACAGTTCTCCTCAATGACATTAAGACATCCCCCTACACATGTGCCAATGTGTTCCCCAAAACCTTGTTGTTTTTCTTCATGTTGAGAATAGGTTCAGATGGAACAACATGCCACAGAAGGAGAAAGTCCAGCTGAAGAACTGTGCTATGGGTCTATTGTCATCTGTGAGTCAGTTTGGGTGATAAACACCCTGTTAGTGTCTTTATTTCTCTAGAAAAAGTATGTGGCTGATAAGATGACAAATGGAATTACTGGTGGTCTGTCGACCCAATTACAAATATACTTTTAAAAAACACACACAAAAAACATTGTTGTGTGATCAGTTAGATGTACATTAATGAATATGCAGACACTAGTCTGTTCCCTGACTCTGGCACACTGCTTCCCTCTCCAGGGCACCTATCCTATCCTGGAGGAGGAGAGCTACATCAAGGATGTTCTCTCGCGGATCATAGTGGAGATGATCAAGAGAGAATGGCCTCAGCACTGGCCTGACATGCTGAAGGAGATGGAGGCACTCACCAGCGTAGGGGTGAGTCGGCACGTTCCCGTTCAGTGTTTCCCCTAGGTTTTTATGCTGGCGGGGTGCCAAGGCCCCCGGAGCAACTTTCAGGGCTGAAAACATCAAAGCATTCCTCCCCCCCAGGAGGCCCAGACAGAGCTGGTGATGTTGATCCTGCTGCGGCTGGCGGAGGACGTGATCACCTTCCGGACCTTGCCCACCCAGCGTCGCCGGGACATCCAGCAGACCCTCACCCAGAACATGGAGAGTATCTTTAGCTTCCTGCTCGCCATCCTGCAGCTCCACGTCGATGAGTACCGCAAACTGGTAAACAGACAATGGTTACATCTGTCTGTCGTTCCCCAAAACATTTGCAGAAGTGTTTTTGACTTATTTTATTGATATTTTATTTTTGTACCTCTTCCAGAAAAGAATACCTGGCCAAGAATTGCAGGTAGGAAAGTGTTTTTGATGTACTACATCCACTTTCTGATTTTTTTAATATTCACATTTAGACACCCAGCTAAAGAGACTTCTCTGTTCTGTTTTATGCGTGTTACCCCCCCCTCCCCCCCTCTCTCTCATCTCTCTCCCCTCCCTCTTCTTCTCTCCCCCTCTCCACCTGGTCAGGCCAAGGCCCACTGTCGTGTAGGCGTGGCTACTCTAAACACCCTGGCAGGCTACATAGACTGGGTGGCCCTGGCAAACATCACCAGTGACAACTGTCGCCTGCTGGAGATTCTCTGTCTGCTGCTCAGTGAGACAGAGCTGCAGCTGGAGGCTGCCGAGTGCCTGCTCATCGCCATTAGCCGCAAGGTTAGTATAGACTACACAGTACTAGACACTCCCCTTTCTGCAGTCACCCCTTGAAGGACCTGACACTCCCCCTTTCTCTCCAGACACTCCTCCTTTCTGTCCAGACACCCAATCTACAAACACGCCTCTTTCTGCAGACGGACTCTGTAGGACCAGACCAGATATTTTTTCACGACATTGTTGTAATGTAAAATGCAGGTCTACATCTACTGTATTATTAGTCAGGTACATCATAGGGTTGTGAAAACTGTTGTCATCTTAACGTGCTTGGTGTGTCTCCTCAGGGGAAGCTGGAGGACAGGAAACCCCTCATGGTGCTGTTTGACGACGTCGCCATGCACTACATCCTGTCTGCTGCACAGTGAGTACATTCCCCTCATCACCCATAAGGCCTTGGTTTACACAGCAGCATTACTAGCTCATTCTGGCTTCTAATTCTCATCGGTTTGTGGCTACAGGTTTGCAAATGGAGCTGCAATATGCAACAAATCCTCTCCAACACAGTGAGTAGCCTACACATTTTGGTATTCAGCGTCAGAGTTCTTGTCCAGCTTTGGTATTTAGCATTTGAGCTCATACGGCTTGGTCCTTTTTTCTTTCAGTGAAGTGTGCTGCTATGCTTAAAAATGCCCTTTAAATAAAGTTTAATTTGATTTCCCCCCAGGCCAGAGGGGACAGGGTTGGTGGAGACACACTACATCTTCCTGAAGAGGCTATGTCAGGTCCTGTGTGCCCTGGGCAGCCAACTCTGCTCATTAGTGGTGAGTCTGGCTCAGGGTTTCCGTTAGGAAAATGTGGCGCCGGACAACTTGACCGGGAAGATATTAATTTACCAGCCATTTGAGAAATGTTCCAGACCCATAAGCATTGGGTGCATAACCCATTAGGGTATCCACCTAAGGTGCTCAGAATGACACATTTAGATTGTGGTAATGCATCTTAACAGAACTAATTTAATGAAGCAGCCAATAAAACGCATTTTCAAACATTTACCAAAATGCAATTCACGGGAAAACACCATTCTAAACAGCGCACCTGGGAAAACACAGTTCTAAACAGTGCACCTGTTAGTGGTTCCATATGTGACAGAGATGAAAATCTCTGTTAAATTAAAAAGAGGGGGAATCTAAAGATGTGTTGCTAATATGACTGTTATGATAAGTTTCTGGTATCGAGAAGTTCCAGATGAAATAATATACTTAAACAATTATATGGAGAGTTGATACAAACTATTTATTTGATTACGGTACCGGGTTTGTTTAACAAATGGCACATGCTTTGCCTCTTGTCATCTGAACTCTGGACAAAGGAAATCTCTGTTTAAATACTTCATTTTACACGTTTCTTCAACCACATCTGTTAACCATCCATGGGCACTCCCCAGTCTGATGGTACCAGCTTGTACCCAAGTCAGTATATTATATCTATCAATCATTCTAAGATAAACCCCAGTAAGCTCCCTCGACATACTGGAATCCTTGGCATTCAGACTCTGTGGCACCAATAATTATCTATCTAACAGATTTAACTTTGTTCCCACAACACTATGACAATACGTTATAACAATGACTAGGATTGTTGATATGAAAACCAATAGAACAGGAGAGAAATGGCATAGCGGTGGGTCCAATAGCGAAGTAAATGGAAATAAATTTGCCAAAATTATATAATTACTCCTGTCTATACATAAAATACTTCACCAGAAAGCATGACTTAGCCACAGAGGAATCTAGCTTTAAAAAAAATAAATAACTGTGGATTGTTTCAAATCACAAGCTGATAGGCCTGTGCTTATTTGGGAAGCCCGCAATTTGGGCAGCGTGCGTGACAATAGCCCTAGCTGATTATTGAACATGCGGCTGTCAGTGAAAAGCACCTAAAATATGTGTGAAGATAATGTGTCTTGAGTATAACTTAAAATGTTGAGACGAGAAGAAGGGGAGGGGTGTGTGGCGAAGAGATAGGCGAGTCTCTCCAGAACGGCTCTGCTGTCTCCTGTCAATACTTGCACATTCAATGTGTGAATTGTTTACTTTTTACATTACATTTTAGTCATTTAGCAGACGCTCTTATCCAGAGTTAGTGAGTGCATAATTTCTTTTCTTTTTTTTATACTTTGTCCTTAGATTTTTTTTAAATCAATTTCCCATGACATATGTCACCAGTAGTAAATGTACCGTTAATCCTGTAATTTGGTTACATTCATTTCTGTTAATGCATGTATTAATTACAGTCATTTACTATTCTCATTCTTGGAGTGGAAACGTTGTTTGCAGAGTTCACAACCTGCTACACTTGTGAAAAACAAGTTTTGGTTTATTTCATAATCATCATTTATGAGATTTGTAAATTTTTTCATTGTCTTTTTGTTTGAAGTGCTCCATGTGAGCAATGAGCGTGTGTCTGGTTTCTCTGTCCTAATAATGTTGTGGGAGCACGCGCTTGAGCACGCAAGTACCAGGCCCGCTGCGCAGAAATGTAGGAAAGTGTTATTTTTTAACATTCATTGCTAATGATAATATATTAAAACTATAGTTCCTCACAGGAAGCTATTTGAAAAATCTTTCCAATCTCCCCCTCGATAATCACCAATCCTTGAAAGAGCAATGGAAGTTATAGACCTACTGCTGCATTGGCCTATAGGCTATGAGTTCCATGCGCTCATTTCTTTAGCCGCCAATGGTCAGTCTATCAATGTTCCCATATGGCAGAGGTTGGTGATCTCACATTAGTTGACCTTTTAGATTTTAATCATTTTAATTCAGATTTTTATGATTAACCACTTGACAATGATTTTGAAAAATTGAAAAGTTATTATTTGGAATGAAACTGTTCCGGGCCTCCCGAGTGGCGCAGCGGTCTAAGGCACTGCATCGCAGTTTTGCGGCGTCACTACAGCCTGGGTTCGATCCCAGGCTGTGTCATTACCGGCCGTGACCGGGAGCCGCATAGGGCGGCACACAATTGGCCCAGCGTCGTCCGGGTTAGGGGAGGGTTTGGCCGGGAGGGCTTTACTTGGCTCTAGCGACTCCTTGTGGCGGGCCGGGCGCCTGCAGGCTGATTTCAGTCGTCAGTTGAAAGGTTTTTCCTCCGACACATTGGTGCAGCTGGCTTCCGGGTTAAGTGAGCGGGTGTTAAGAAGTGCGGTTTGGCGGGTCATGTTTCGGAGGATGCATGACTCGACCTTTGCCTCTCCCGTGCCTGTTGGGGAGTTGCAGCGATGAGACAAGATCGTAATCACGAAATTGGGGAGAAAAATTACAAAAAAATTAATTCATGTAACTGTTCCACCAAAATGCAGATATGAAAATCATAACTGGCATCCAGAACAGTAGAAATGGTAGGATAAATTGTAAGCTTCCCCAAATGTGAAACTCACGCGCCGCCTATGAAGTCTTTATAAAATAATTGCCTCCATGTTTCCATGGTGGGATTTTGCCTGTAGGCTACTTTGAAGCAAGGTAAGACATGCCTCATAATATGAAATAAAACATTCAGGTTTCAAACAATTAAGTATGTTTTCAAAATGCATACTGCCTCCAGCTCACATTGTAAAGTGGTGGATGATGCGCTGATAGCCTGTTTCCTGCACTTGAATGATGAACGGGAGGCGCGCTTTAATTACCAGAAATAAAAATAGTAGCTCTTTTTAATTGTGCACCAAAACAGTTTTTAACATGCGATTTTATTTAGAATTATTGCTCAATGAATGGGCTTTTAAAAGCACATGTTTTACTCCAGCAGCAACCAGCTGAGGAGCAGCAGGAGAAATCCATCTCAAAATGGTTCTGTATGCTGTGATAGTTGAGTTGGATAAGTAAGATACATGATGACTAACGAATACACACAGGCCAATTTAATTCCACTAAATAATGCAAATTAACCTATAGACCGAAAAGCATGATGGTCAAATGTATTTACATGGACTTATTTCCATCAATGAATAAAAAGCATTATTTTGCAATTAGGATCTTTTTTCTCTTGGTTATTTTGGCGGGCAACAGTTTCATTAGCTCTTTTTTTTTTTTTTTGTGGGCCAAAAACAGTTAAGAAAAAAGTACACGTGGGTGTCTTGATCTGTCGTTTGTCCTATGTGTTTCTAATGCAGGGTTCAGATGTGGAGGTAGAGGTACCTGCAAACCTTAGCAAGTACACAGAAGCATTCCTGGCCTTCACCACACACCCAAGCCAGGTGAGTTACCTACTGTTAAAATAAAGTACCAGCCACAGCCTCTCGATACAAATCCCATACAGCTAGTTTCTTCATATCCTCCTTTGTCAAATCTGGGCCTCGAGCACTGAACGTTAAGACGTAGTATTCTTAAATGTTTTGATTTGTTCTGACAATCTACCCTACTCTGAACTAAAGTATTTCTTTGTCTTTTCCCACCAGTTCCTTAGGTCTTCCACCCAGATCACGTGGGGAACCCTGTTCAGACATGAGATTCTCTCCAAGGATCCTGTTATCATCCAGATGACCATCAAGTACTTTAGAGCCACCATGACCAACCTAGTCAAGGTGAGACGGGCTACAATGTACGTGCATCCAAGACTTTGTGCAGTTGCACATTAAAGCATCAAAATGTTCATTCGAAGAAGTGAGCACAAATTATAAATCCAAAATATAAATTATGACAACTACACGGAAAGGTTTAGCTCTTCCACTATGTGTGCTTTGTCTCTACATGCTATGGCAAGGTTCTTTTAATTATATTAATTGATATTCTTGTGTTCCTCCTGCTAGACTGGTTTTCCTTCCAGGAATGACAGTCCCAGCTGTGAGTACTCCCGTCATGACTTCGACAGTGATGAAGACTTCAACTCCTTCTTCAACTGTAAGTAATGTGACTCCTATTTTATTTGAATACTTTAGACTTAATAAATATTCATATAATTTATTTTTGTTGCCATTGAATAATGTTTTTTGCATTTCGTTCCTACTGATCATGACCCTGATGCTTGTGTCCGTGTTCCGATGTCTTCCAGCGTTCCGAGCGCAGCAGGGGGAGGTGGTCCGGAATGCGTGTCGTATTGTCCCCTTGGAGGCCTTCCAGATTGCAGCAGAGTGGCTGCAGTATCAGATCAGTACGCCGATCGACATCGGAACCACTGTGTGTACGTGCTGCTTCTTGACTGTGGCGATCTGGGGGGGGGGGTGTCACTGTGATGGTGAATGTGTCAGTATGAAACTGATTGAATGTCTTTGTGGAGTCCATGAGGGGTTAACACAAACCACGAGCCAAAGCACGCAGACTACCACAAGAGTAGGCTATGGGAGTAGGGCCATTAGTATGTTTCCAGGTCAATGCAGCTGATTGCTCAAATCAAGAGTTAATTCATATCGAGGAAGGAGGGGTTTGAGTAGGTTCTTAAAGAGGAAATGCTTCTTAATTTGTATGAGGTGAGTTCTCACTCTTATCAAACAATAGATTCATTCTTGTAACAATTCTTTGAAAGGAAATTATGCTGGCACTAAGACCGCTCTCAACGAGCTCTATAAGGCCATAAGCAAACAAGAAAGTGCTCATCCAGAGGCGGCGCTCCTAGTGGCTGGGGACCTTAATGCAGGGAAACTTAAATCCCGTTTTACCTCTATTTCTACCAGCATGTTAAATGTGCAACCAGAGGGAAAAAAAACTCTAGACCACCTTTACTCTACTCACAGAGATGCGTACAAAGCTTTCCCTCGCCCTCCATTTGGCAAAGCTGACCATAATTCTATCCTCCTGCTTACAAGCAAAAACTAAAGCAGGAAGTACCAGTGACTCGCTCAATACAGAAGTGGTCAGATGACGCAGATGCTAAACTACAGGACTGTTTTGCTAGCACAGACAGGAATATGTTCCGGGATTCTTCTTCTCCGATGGCATTGAGGAGTACACCACATCAGTCACTGGCTTCATCAATAAGTGCATCGATGACGTTGTCCCCACAGTGACCGTACGTACCCCAACCAGAAGCCATGGATTACAGGCAACATCCGCACTGAGCTAAAGGGTAGAGCTGCCGCTTTCAAGGAGCGGGACTCTAACCCGGAAGCTTATAAGAAATCCCGCTATGCCCTCCGACTAACCATCAAACAGGCAAAGCGTTAATACAGGATTAAGATTGAATCGTACTACACTGGCTCCGACGCTCGTCGGATGTGGAAGGGCTTGCAAACTATTACGGACTACAAAGGGAAGCACAGCCACGAGCTGCCCAGTGACACGAGCCTACCAGACAAGCTAAATTACTTATATGCTCGCTTCGAGGCAAGCAACACTGAAGCATGCATTAGAGCATTAGCTGTTCTGACGACTATGTGATCACGCTCTCCGTAGCCGATGTGAGTAAGACCTTTTAAACAGGTCAACATTCACAAGGCCGCAGGGCCAGACGGATTACCAGGACGTGTACTCCGAGCATGCGCTGAACGACTGGTAAGTGTCTTCACTGACATTTTCAACCTGTCCCTGACTGAGTCTGTAAAACCAACAAGCAGACCACCATAGTCCCTGTGCCCAAGAACACTAAGGTAACCTGCCTAAATGACTACCGACCCGTAGCACTGACGTCTGTAGCCATGAAGTGCTTTGAAAGGCTGGTCATGGCTCAAATCAACACCATTATCCCAGAAACCCTAGACCCACTCCAATTTGCGTACCGCCCCAACAGATCCACAGATTATGCAATCTCTATTGCACTCCACACTGCCCTTTCCCACCTGGACAAAAGGAACACCTACGTGAGAATGCTATTCATTGACTACAGCTCAGCATTCAATACCATAGTGCCCTCAAAGCTCATCACTAAGCTAAGGACCCTAGGACTAAACACCTCCCTCTGCAACTAGATCCTGGACTTCCTGACGGGCTCCCCCCAGGTGGTAAGGATAACAACACATCTGCCACGCTGATCCTCAACACGGGGGCCCCTCAGGGGTGCGTGCTCAGTCCCCTCCTGTACTCCCTGTTCACCCATGACTACATGGCCAAGCACGACTCCGACACCATCATTAAGTTTGCCGACAAAACAACAGTGGTAGGCCTGATCACCGACAACGATGAGACAGCCTATAGGGAGGAGGTCAGAGACTTGGCCGCGTGGTGCCAGGATAACAACCTCTTCCTCAATGTGATCAAGACAAAGGAGATGATTGTGGACTACAGGAAAAGGAGGACTGAGCACACACCCATTCTCATCGTCGGGGCTGTAGTGGAGCAGGTTGAGAGCTTCAAGTTCCTTGGTGTCCACATCACCATCAAACTCTCATGGTCCAAACACACCAAGACAGTCGTGAAGAGGGCACGACAAAGCCTATTCCCCCTCAGGAGACTGAAAAGATTTGGCATGTGTCCTCAGATCCTCAAAGTTCTACAGCTGCAACATCGAGAGCATCCTGACTGGTTGCATCACCGCCTGGTATGGCAACTGCTCTGCCTCCGACCGCAAGGCACTACAGAGGGTAGTGTGTACGGCCCAGTACATCACTAGGGCCAAGCTTCCTGCCATCCAGGACCTCTATACCAGGCAGTGTCAGAGGAAGGCCCTAAAAATTGCCAAAGACTCCAGCCACCCTAGTTATTGACTGTTCTCTCTGCTACCGCACGGCAAGCGGTACCGGAGCACCAAGTCTACGTCCAAAAGGCTTCTTAACAGCTTCCACCCACAAGCCATAAGACTCCTGAACAGCTAATCATGGCTACCTGGACTATTTGCATTGTCGTCGTCGTCCCCCCCCCAGCTGCTGCTACTCTCTGTTTATTATCTATGCATAGTCTCTACCTACATTAATTATTTGTTATTTTTACTTATCTATTTTTTACTTAACACTTATTTTTCTTAAAAATGCATTGTTGGTTAAGGGCTTGTAAGGAAGCATTTCACTGTAAGGTCTACACCTGTTGTATTCGGTGCATGTGACAAATAAGATTTGATTTGATGGGTCAAGAGAAACTGGTGATGCCGGTTAACTAATTAGTTAATTAGCCTATATACTCTCTCTCTTTCTCCCCTTTTTACCTCTCCCGACTCTATTTTTCTCTCTCTTCCTCCTTTTCTTTCCAGCTAAGACGGCTGAGGGGCTGTGTTCTATCCTGTCTCCGGCAGCGGTCCAGTGGGATGCTATGACCTTCTTTACAGAGAGTGTTGTGGGAAAGATCTTCAAGAACGTGGAGGATGAGGTACGAGTAATGTTTATGGCTACCCACAGCGGAGAGATGGAGAGAGCAAAACTAGAGAGTGAGGGGGTAGAGAGGGCAGATTGTGAACACTGCCAGGCGGGTGCCCTTGATGGCAAAAATGTGTAGGTATTTTTGAAAGACAAAACTATTGATTTGATATTTTTTTGCATGGCTCAAGAACATAAACAAGTGTTGGTGTAACTTTATTTGAAGAGTCTGTAACAAACCATGTATGAGTCATTTATAAGGCAGTCACAAACTGTTCACAATTTATTAATTATTACTCCTACATTTGTAAAAGAAGGTAGTTATTCACACAAAAAAAGATAGATAGATATATACTGAACAAAAATATAAATGCAACAATTTCAACGATTTTACTGAGTTACAGTTCATATATGTAAATCAGTTAATTGAAATGAATTCATTAGGGCCTAATCTATGGATTTCACGACTGGGCAGGGGTGCAGCCATGGGTGGGCCTGGGAGGGCATAGGCCCACCCACTTGGGAGCCAGGACCTCCCACTGGGGAGTCAGGCCCAGCCAATCAGAATGAGTTTTTCCCCACAAAAGGCTGTATTACAGACACAAATACTCCTCAGATTCATTAGCTGTCCGGGTGTCTGGTCTCAGATGATCCCGCAGGTGAAGAAGCTGGATGTGGAGGTCCTGGACTGGCGTGGTTACACGTGGTCTGCGGTTGTGATGCTTGTTGGACGTACTGCCAAATTCTCTAAAACAACGTTTGAGGTGGCTTATGGTAGAGAAATTAACATTAAATTGTCTGGCAACAGCTTTGGTGGACATTCCTGCAGTCAGCATGCCAATTGCACGCTCCCTCAAAAGTTGACATCTGTGGCATTGTGTTGTGTGACAAATCTGTACATTTTTGAGTGGCCTTTTGTCCCCAGCACGAGGTGCACCTGTGTAATGATCATGCTGTTTAATCAGCTTCTTGATATGCCACACCTGTCAGGTGGATGGATTATCTTGGCGAAGGAGAAATGTTCACTAACAGGGATGTAAACCAATTTGTGCACAAAATTTGAGAGAAATTAGCTTTTTGTGCGTATGGAAAAATTCTGGGATATTTTATTTCAGCTCATGAAACATGGGACCAACACTTTACATGTTGCGTTTATATTTTTGGTGTGTGTATGTACAGTACCAGTCAAAAGTTTGGACACACCTACTCACTCAAGGGTTTGTCTTTATTTTTACTATTTTCTACATTGTAGAATAATAGTGAAGACATCAAAACTATGAAATAACACATATGGAATCATGTAGCAACCAACAAAGGGTTAAACAAATCAAAATATATTTTGGATTTTAGATTGTTCAAAGTAGCCACCCTTTGCCTTGATGACAGCTTTGCACTCTCTTGGCATTCTCTCAACCAGCTTCATGAGAAATGCTTTTCCAACAGTCTTGTTGGGTCATTGTCCTGTTGAAAAACAAATGATAGTCCCGCTAAGCGCAAACCAGATGGGATGGCGTATCGCTGCTGAATGCTGTGGTAGCCATGCTGGTTAAGTGTGCCTTGAATTCTAAATAAATCACAGACAGTGTCACCAGCAAAGCACCATCACACCTCCTCATCCATGCTTCATGGTGGGAACCACACATGCGGAGATCATCCGTTCACCTACTCTGGGTCTCACAAAGACACGGCAGTTGGAACCAAAAATCTCAAATTTGGACTCCAGACCAAAAGACAGATTTCCACTGGTCTAATGTCCATTGCTTGTCTTTCTTGGCCAAAGCAGGTCTCTTCTTATTCATGTCCTTTAGTTGTGGTTTCTTTGCAGCAATTCGACCATGAAGGCCTGATTCACGCAGTGTCCTCTGAACAGTTGATGTTGAGATGTGTCTGTTACTTGAACTCTGTGAAGCATTTATTTGGGCTGCAATTTCTGAGGCTGGTAACTCGAATGAACTTATCCTCTGCAGCAGAGGTAACTCTGGGTCTTCCATTCCTATGGCGGTCCACATGAGAGCCAGTTTCATCATAGCGCTTGATGGTTTTTGCAACTGCACTTGAAGAAACTTTCAAAGTTCTTGAAATGTTCAGTATTTACTGACCTTCATGTCTTAAGGTAATGATGGACTGTCGTTTCTCTTTGCTTATTTGAGCTGTTCTTGCCTTAATATGGACTTGGTCTTTTACGAAATAGGGCTATCTTCTGTATACCACCCTTACTTTGTCACAACACAACTGATTGGCTCAAACGCATTGAGGAAAGAAATTCCACAAATTAACTTTTAAGTAGGCACACCTGTTAATTGAAATGCATTCTAGGTGACTACCTCATGAAGCTGGTTTAGAGAATGCCAAGATTGTGCAAAGCTGTCAAGGCAAAGGGTGGCTATTTGAAGAATATCAAATATCAAATAGATTTTGATTTGTTTAACGCTTTTTTGGTTACTACATGATTCCATATGTGTTATTTCATAGTTTTGATGTCTTCACTATTAGTCTACAATGTAGAAAATAGTCAAAATAAAGAAAAACCCTTGAATGAGTAGGTGTGTGTGTATTATTATTTATTTATTTCTTAAATATCCTGTGTTGTAGGCTTACTCTGGTCACTCAACATTTTATAAAGCGTAAATAGTGCTCACTTTAGGGGCTGCAAAAGTACTTTACTAATGATTAGTAAATGGTTTATAAATGTGGGCGTAATGATTCATAAATGGTGAACACACAATTTATAAATGGTTTATTATGGACCCTTAAACTAGTGTTACCCAAGTGTTATGAATGTAATGAAAGGAAATTCCGGTTAATATGATGATGATGAAGAAACCCTAACTCTGTGGTGTCCCTTTGCCCCTGCTGTAGAAGTTGCCTGTAGACCAGGGCGTTGAGCTGCTACAGGCGGTGTTGAACTACAATACCAGAGACCCTCTCATCCTGTCCTGTGTCCTCACCAACGTCTCCGTCCTCTTCCCCTTCGTCACACACCGACCTCACTTCCTGCCTCAGGTCCTCTACAAGGTGAACACACACCCATGCGCACAAACGCACGCACACAGATCTACAATCTCTCTCCTGACCTTTTGTGGATCGTGTCCACCTTTTTAAATGAAACTGTTCTTCTTCTCCTTCCCAGCTGTTTGCCTCCATCACATTTGAGGTGGTAGAGGAGAGCAAGGTGAGCCGTCTTAAATATTCTTAGGAAGGACGACGGATGTGTTCTTTGGGATTGTATAAAAGCGATAGGTATCCGAGGCTAAGTAGTCCATCCAATCATCAGTCTGATCTGGGATGTCATTTTCAGGCACCACGGACGCGTGCGGTGAAGAACGTCAGAAGACACGCCTGCTCCTCCATCATCAAGATGTCTCGAGACTACCCACAATTCATTCTTGTATGTGTCTGCGGTCAAGTTCATCCTACTCCTAGAGAAGGCTCATCCAGCGCTGTGCAGTAGAAAGGAACAGATGCTTTAAGTAGATACTGGTGACACAGTTGGCTATGACTTTTAGAACCAGTGTACGGATGTGTGCAAATCTGTTGCTTCTTACAAGTGTATGTGTATCTGTGGGGGGATGTTTGGGTGTGTCTGTTTTTCACCTATATCTCTCTCACACTCGCTCTCTCTGTCTCCATGCAGCCGTGCTTTGACATGATGTATAACCACGTGAAAAAGCTGTTCTCCAATGAGGATCTGTTGAACCTGCTGGAGAAGTGTGCTTTGATGGAGGCCCTGGTCCTCATCAGTAACCAGTTCAAAGACTACAACAAGCAGAAAAACTTCCTGGAGGAGCTAATGGGCACCGTGGCTGCTCGCTGGACCTCCGATGAGATGAGGCAGTATGTACACACGCGCTGTCTACACTGAACTGCTTACACGCACTGCATGCACACAGACACACGTGCGCCCGCGCACACACACACACAACATGCGTACATACACATACACGCTATACACACAACTGTATACACACACTTGCGCTGTATAATAAAATGGTTGTTCTCTCTTTGTGTGTATCAGTGTGCTGTGGGATCCTGCTCTGTTCCTGGCCTTCGTTGGTGCTGATCAGCTGGTGGCTGAAGGCACAGAACACACAACGGGCATCAACAGGTCACGGGTAGGTGTGTGTGTGTGTGTGTGTGTGTGTGTGTGTGCGTTCATGGCTAAGTACTAAAACTTAACAATTCAACCAATTCTGCCAAAACGTCAACTATATTGAAACGTTTCCTATTCCTTGTTTGTCTCTCCCCCACCCTGCCCTCCAGTTGAGTTTCTGTGTATACACCATCCTGGGGGTGGTGAAGAGGGCCCGCTGGCCAGCTGACCTGGAGGAAGCGAAGGCTGGGGGCTTTGTAGTGGGCTACACCCCTAATGGAGCCCCCATCTACAGAAACCCCTGCAACACCCAGGTCCTGGCCCTGCTGCCCAACCTGCTCGCCCTCATCAGGTTAGGGGATGTGGTGGGGGTGCTGGAGAGAAAGACGGTGTGTTTGTGATGATGATAGTGATGGTGGTGATAAGTGTTTGTGGTGGTGGTGATGATGATACTGTTTGTGATGATGATGGTAGTGTTTGTGGTGATGATGGTAGTGTTTGTGGTGGTGATGATGATGATAGTGTTTGATGATTTTGGTGGTGATAGTGTTTGTGATGATGATAGTGTTTGTGGTGGTGATGATGATGATGATGATAGTTTTTGTGATTGTGGTGATGATGATAGTGATTGTGGTGATGTTTGTGATGGTGGTGATGATGATAGTGTTTGGTGGTGATGTTGATGATCGTGTTTGTGATGATGATGATGATAGTGTTTGGTGGTGATGATAGTGATTATGATGATAGTGTTTGTGGTGATGAGGATGATAGTTTTTGTGATTGTGGTGATGATGATAGTGTTTGTGATTGTGGTGGTGGTGTTGATGATAGTGTTTGTGATGGTGGTGATGTTGATAGTGTTTGATGATGGTAGTGTTTGGTGGTGATGCTGGTGATAGTGTTTGTGGTGGTGGTGATGACAGTGTTTATGATGATGGTGGTGGCGATGATAGTGTTTGATTATGATAGTTTTTGTGATTGTGGTGATGATGATAGTGTTTGTGATTGTGGTGATGATAGTGTTTGTGATGGTGGTGGTGATGATGACGATAGTGTTTGGTGATGCTGATGATAGTGTTTGTGATGATGGTGTTTGATGATGATAGTGTTTGATGATGGTGTTTGATGATGATGATGATAGTGTTTGTGATTATGATGATAGTGTTTGGTGGTGATGGTGTTTGGTGGTGATGATGATGATAGTGTTTGGTGGTGGTGATGATAGTGTTTGTGGTGATGATGGTGATAGTGTTTGTGATGAACATGATGATATAGAGGATGATGATGATGTTTCTCTGTAGAACCCACAACAGTCTGTTCCTGCCGGAGAACATGTGTCGTCTGAGTGAGACGTTCTCCAGGGCCTACGACATGATAGAGGTGGAGAAGAACGTGGTTCTAGGTGAGAGGAACCACACTGATTCACTGGTTCTGCACAGTACTGGTTTAGAAACCCTATATCACAGGTTGGTAACCTATGGCTAATATTTCCCCCTTGAAGGATAATGAACAACCATGAATGTTATGTGTCCTGACCTGTAGGCCTGCCTCAGCCAGCCCTGGACATCTATGACCCTCCAGTGTATAAGACTCATCTAGAGCGCATGCAGGGATTCTTCTGTACCCTCTACGACAACTGGTGAGTTCCTCACTTTGGATAGTCTTCTGCTTCCTCTCTTTCTCCACACACCAACACAACCACACAGTCTCGCTCTCTTGTTCACCCCCCCACCCCCCTTTCTCTCGCGCTCTCTCTCTCTCTAGTTACCATACCCTGGGGAAGGCAGGCCTATCATTGCAGCAGGACTTCTACACCATCGAGGGATTGGCTGAACAGATTGTTGGTTCTGCCTTCGTCTCCCTCGACAACGTGCCTGACCACAGACTCCGCACCATGATCCATATCCTTCTGTTCCATTAGAGCTGCCAATCACATAGGAGCTCTTGACTAATTCAATATATACTGAACAAAAATATGAACGCAACATGCAACAATTTCAACGATTTTACTGAGTTACAGTTCATATAAGGAAATCAGTCAATTGAAATGAATTCATTAGGCCCTAATCTATGGGTTTCACATGACTGAGCAGGAGCGCAGCCATGGGTGGGCCTGGGAGGGCATAGGCTCACCCACTGGGGAGCCAGGCCCAGCCAATCAGAATGAGTTTTTCCCCACAGAAGGGCTTTATTACGGACACAAATACTCCTCAGTTTCATCAGCTGTCCGGGTGGCTGGTCTCAGACAATCCCGCAGGTGAAGATGCCGGATGTGGAGGTCCTGGGCTGACGTGGTTACATGTGGTCGGTGGTTGTGAGGCCTGATGGACATACTGCCAAATTCTCTAAAACGACATATGATCGAGAAATGAACATTCAATTCTCTGGCAACAGCTCTGTTGGGCATTCGTGCAGTCAGCATGCAAAATGCATGCTCCCTCGAAACTTGAGACATCTGTGGCATTGTGTTGCATATTTTAGAGTTTTATTGTCATCAGCACAAGGTGCACCTGTGTAATGATCATGTTGTTGAATCAGATTCTTGATATACCACACCTGTCAGGTGGATGGATTATCTTGGCAAAGGAGAAATGGTCACTAACAGGGATATAAACAAATGTATGCACAAAAAGTGAGAGAAATAAGCTTTTTGTGCGTATGGAACAATTCAGTGATCCTAAGATTTTTGTTAAGTGTACAGTTGTGGTCAAAAGTATTGGTCTTCACAAAGTTTGCTGCTTCAGTGTTTTAAGATATTTTTGTCAGATGTTACTATGGTATACTGAAGTATAATTACAAGCATTCCATAAGTGTCAAAGGCTTCTATTGACAATTACATTAAGTTTATGCAAAGAGTCAATATTTGCAGTGTTGACCCTTCTTTTTCAAGACCTCTGCAATCCGCCCTGGCATGCTGTCAATTAACTTCTGGGCCACATCCTGACTGATCGCAGCCCATTCTTGCATAATCAATGCTTGGAGTTTGTCAGAATTTGTGGGTTTTTGTTTGTCCACCCGCCTCTTGAGGATTGACCACAAGTTCTCAATAGGATTAAGGTCTGGGGAGTTTCCTGGCCATGGACCCAAAATGTCGATGTTTTGTTCCCCGAGCCACTTAGTTATCACGTTTGCCTTATGGCAAGGTGCTCCATCATGCTGGAAAAGGCATTGTTCGTCACCAAACTGTTATTGGATGGTTGGGAGAAGTTGCTCTCGGAGGATGTGTTGGTACCATTCTTTATTCATGGCTGTGTTCTTAGGCAAAATTGTGAGTGAGCCCACTCCCTTGGCTGAGAAGCAACCCCACACAGGATGGTCTCAGGATGCTTTACTGTTGGCATGACACAGGACTGATGGTAGGGCTCACCTTGTCTTCTCCGGACAAGCTTTTATCCGGATGCCCCAAACAATCAGAAAGGGGATTCATCAGAGTAAATGACTTTACCCCAGTCCTCAGCAGTGCAATCCCTGTACCTTTTGCAGAATATCAGTCTGTCCCTGATGTTTTTCCTGGAGAGAAGTGACTTCCTCGCTGCCCTTCTTGATACCAGGCCATCCTCCAAAAGTATTTGCTTCACTGTGCGTGCAGATGCACTCACACCTGCCTGCTGCCATTCCTGAGCAAGCTCTGCACTGGTGGTGCCCTGATTCCGCAGCTGAATCAACTTTAGGAGACGGTCCTGGCGCTTGCTGGACTTTCTTGGGCGCCCTGAAGCCTTCTTCACAACAATTGAACCTCTCTCCTTGAAGTTCTTGATGATCCGATAAATGGTTGATTTAGGTGCAATCTTACTAGCAGCAATATCCTTGCCTGTGAAGCCCTTTTTGTGCAAAGCAATGATGACGGCACGTGTTTCCTTGCAGGTAACCATGGTTAACAGAGGAAGAACAATGATTTCAAGCACCACCCTCCTTTTAAAGCTTCCAGTCTGTTATTCTAACTCAATCAACATGACAGAATGATCTCCATCCTTGTCCTCGTCAACACACTCACCTGTGTTAATGAGAGAATCACTGACATGATGTCAGCTGGTCCTTTTGTGGCAGGGCTGAAATGTAGTGGAAATGTTTTTGGGGGATTAAGTTCATTTTCATGGCAAATAGGGACTTTGCAATTAATCTGTTCACTCTTCATAACATTCTGGAGTATATGCAAATTGCCAGCAGACATTGTGAAAATTAATATTTGTGTCATTCTCAAAACTTTTGACCACGACTGTATATATACTTTTTCTTCAGACAAAAAGGAATATAATGTCATTGTTAGTGATCAAATACATTGATATAGCACTGACTTTACATGTGCAGTATCTATTCAATCAACCGGTGTTCCTTAACGTGTGTGTACGGGTGTTCCTGAAGCAGCTGGTGGTGTCGTGTCCACAGGAGTGCTACGACAGTCTGCTCTGCCCCCTGCTGGGCCCTCTGTTCGCCTACATGCTACAGGTCCGAACTCGCACACTTTTTCCCCTTGCACCTGTGAAGTAAAATACCAAAAAGGAGAGCTTCTTTGCATGTAAAAAGGAAATAATGTACTCACATAGCAAAAAAGGTTAACTGTGGTACAACTACCAAACAAATGAAAAGAAATCAGAGGCTGATCAAACACTCAGCATGCTTATTGTCATTGGCACTAGTAATCGGTCACGATTAATAAGAAATAGGACGACTCATCATGTGACGTGTTTGTCTCTCTGTGTTTATGTATACAGAGACTCCATCTCAGGTGGCAGATCATCAACCAGAGGAGTACTGTCAGGTAAGATGCATCCATCCGTGCGTCCCTATGAAGGCATGTGGTCCCTTTGAAGGCATAGGTTTTCTTTCTATTTTTGTGCTGGTGGTATGTTGACAATGTCCCTGTGTGTGTGTGTGTGTGTGTGTAGTGGGGAGGAGGACGAGTCGTGTGAGGAGAATCAGGAGATGCTTGAGGAGCAGCTGGTTCGGCTGCTCACCAGAGAGGTTCTGGACCTGCTCAGTAAGTCCACACTTTTGGTAAAGGTCAGATTATTGGGATGCAGGGAGCGAATAAGTAGCACTTTCAATTATAGGCCTTTACGGGTCCCAAAAAATAACTCCATTCAGAATAGGAAGTAGCAGCCTACCGGTTGGCTGTTGGTCATTGTAACCTATCCTTCTCCTTTAACTTTTAATTCCTTAATTTTAATTCCATCTTCCAATTATTTAGATATCTCCTAACTATTGCCACACACAGAGGCTCTATGACTGTTAGCCTATTGCCGCTTTGATGACTTATGATTGGCCAACAACAAGTTACACACACCACTCTGGTGAAAATCAGGAGCAGCAGCATAAATTACACCCTTTCTCTCTTCTTCAGCAGTCGGCTCTGTACAGTCGTGGTCAAAAGGTTTGAGAATGACACAAATTTTACTTTTCACAAAGTCTGCTGCCTCAGTTTTTATGATGGCAATTTGCATATACTCCAGAATGTTATGAAGAGTGATCAGATGAATTGCAATTAATTGCAAAGTCCCTCTTTGCCATGAAAATGAACTTAATCCCCCAAAAAACATTTCCACTGCATTTCAGCCCTGCCACAATAGGACCAGCTGACATCATGTCAGTGATTATCTCGTTAACACAGGTGAGAGTGTTGACGAGGACAAGGATGGAGATCATTCTGTCATGTTGATTGAGTTAGAATAACAGACTGGAAGCTTTAAAAGGATGGTGGTGCTTGAAATCATTGTTCTTCCTCTGTTAACCATGGTTACCTGCAAGGAAACACGTGCCGTCATCATTGCTTTGCACAAAAAGGGCTTCACAGGCATGGATATTGCTGCTAATAAGATTGCACCTAAATCAACCATTTATCGGATCATCAAGAACTTCAAGGAGAGAGGTTCAATTGTTGTGAAGAAGGCTTCAGGGCGCCCAAGAAAGTTCAGCAAGCGCCAGGACCGTCTCCTAAAGTTGGTTCAGCTGCGGAATTGGGGCACCACCAGTGCAGAGCTTGCTCAGGAATGGCAGCAGGCAGGTGTGAGTGCATCTGCACGCACAGTGAGGCAAAGACTTTTGGAGGATGGCCTGGTGTCAAGAAGGGCAGCGAGGAAGCCACTTCTCTCCAGGAAAAACATAATGGACAGACTGATATTGTGCAAAAGGTACAGGGATTGGACTGCTGAGGACTGGGGTAAAGTCATTTTCTCTGATGAATCCCCTTTCTGATTGTTTGGGGCATCCGGATAAAAGCTTGTCCGGAGAAGAATAGGTTAGTGCTACCATCAGTCCTGTGTCATGCCAACAGTAAAGCATCCTGAGACCATTCATGTGTGGGGTTGCTTCTCAGCCAAGGGAGTGGGCTCAATCACAATTTTGCCTAAGAACACAGCCATGAATAAAGAATGGTACCAACACATCCTCCGAGAGCAACTTCTCCTAAACATCCAATAACAGTTTGGTGACGAACAATGCCTTTTCCAGAATGATGGAGCACCTTGCCATAAGGCAAAAGTGATAACTAAGTGGCTCGGGGAACAAAACATCGACATTTTGGGTCCATGGCCAGGAAACTCCCCAGACCTTAATCCCATTGAGAACTTGTGGTCAACCCTCAAGAGGCGGGTGGACAAACAAAAACCCACAAATTCTGACAAACTCCAAGCATTGATTATGCAAGAATGGGCTGCGATCAGTTAGGATGTGGCCCAGAAGTTAATTGACAGCATGCCAGGGCGGATTGCAGAGGTCTTGAAAAAGAAGGGTCAACACTGCAAATATTGACTCTTTGCATAAACGTAATGTAATTGCCAATAAAAGCCTTTGACACTTATGGAATGTTTGTAATTATACTTCAGTATACCATAGTAACATCTGACAAAAATATCTAAAAACACTGAAGCAGCAAACTTTGTGAAGACCAATACTTGTGTCATTCTCAAAACGTTTGACCACGACTGTACGTGTCCTTGAGGACAAGTCAGTTAAAATTACACATACCCGAGACAATTGACAATCAGATCCAACCCAGACCCATTACATTATTTCTGGACCCTCTCGGGTATTCGGGTACATTGTGGATCTGTGAAGACCTATACTTTCTATTTAGTTTCTCCATTGAGCATGTTTTTTTGGGGGGGGGCCAGGAGAAGGATTATTCTAGTTCCGGGAAACTGGCCCTATGAATTTAGTTCTGCTGCACATCCAGATTTGATAGATTTGGGGTATATGGGTTTTATTTCAGTCTAGCCATGTGTCCTAACATTGATCCTTTCCCATCAGCTCACGCCTGCATAATGAAAAAAGTGCCTGAGCCAGCAGGGAATAAGGAGGATGTGGATGGTGAGTGTTCACTTGTTTTGTAGGGAAGAAAAGTATTACTCAGGGTCCACCCTCTTCTCACTCTTCCTCTTCTTTTTATGTCCTATCGTGTGTGTGTGTGTATATAGAGGAGGAGATGATGTCCACTGAGTCCCAGGCAGTCGCTGCCTCTCCAGCCCAGCCAACAGGCGAACTGACGGAGCTGGGGAAGTGTCTTCTCAAACACGAGGTCAGCAGAACACACATACACACTGGAGTAACTACAGCATCTACCCATGGCAGTATGACAAGTCTCTTTCCCTCTCCCTCTGCAGGACATCTATATGACCTTGTTGACCATCTCATTCACCTCGCTATCCTGGAAGGACACCAGTAATTGTCACCGCACTGCCTCCATCGTGTGCTGGACCCTGCTACGACAGGTAGGCTACACACAGGACAGGCAGCAACTCTCCATCTTTAGCACTCCCTATCCATGTTATCTTCCTTCCTTCCTCCCCTCCCTCCCTCCCCCCTTCCTCCTTCAAACCCTCCCTCCCCTCTTCCTCCCCTCCCTCCCCTCTTCCTCCATTCCCTCCCCTCTTCCTCCATTCCCTCCCCTCTTCCTCCATTCCCTCCCCTCCTTCTCTCCCTCCCCTCCCCTCCTTCTCTCCCTCCCATCCCCTCCTTCCTTCCCTGTGCCTGTTTCTCCCCCTCCCTCCATCTTTCCCCCTCCCTCCGTCTCTCTCTGACTCTGTTGTTGTGTTCAGGTCGTAGGAGGGAACCTTTTGCCAGAGGCGGTCACATGGTTCTATACCAGTGTTCTGAAGGGACTGCAGATGCATGGGCAGCATGAGATCTGCAACTCAGCCCTCACACAACTGGCTCTGCTTATGTACGAGAACCTGGTGAGTGTCACACTCTCTCTCCCTCCTCCTAACTCTTCCTTCCTCACCTCCCTGGGTCAGCGGCCGTGGTACATGGAGCTAAGGGCCATGATGACTCAGACCCCAACGTCACTCACTCTTCCCTGTCTCCTCCTCCGCTCCTCCCTTCCTCTCCAACTAACCCTTTCCTCTCTTCCTCCCTGCCTGGGTCAGCGGCCGCGGTACATGGAGCTAAGAGACGTGATGACTCAGATCCCCGACATCAATCTGGAGGCTCTAGACCAGTACGACCAGCGGCTGCTGGAGCCCAGCTCTGCTCAGAGGTTGGGAGAGAAGAAGAGGAAGGACCAGTTCAAGAAGCTCATTGCTGGCACTGTGGGGGTAATGCCGCCGCCCGCCACTAGGGGGATGGTTCTACTGTAAAATGACCTACAGAAAAGACCTTGGAATAATGTCTGAAATGTGTCCATTGTGACTTTTGAAATTAGTTTTTAATTATAGGATATAAGTTATACTTTATTGGCGAGTGCTGTCAGTATTTGTTTTAATAAGTTTAATTGAATATGGCCTGCACACTCATATGTAACAAGACAACCATTCAATCCAAACCGATTCTTCTAAATTGTTCTTGATCTCTCCTCCCCACAGAAAGCTCTGGGCCAGCAGTTCAAAAAGGAGGTACATATCCGAAATCTTCCGTCTCTCTTTAAGAAGCCCAAGCCTGAGAAAAGGGACATTCTGGAGACCAGTGAGAGTGGAGCACTAGCAGCTCTCTTCTCCCCAGTACTGGACGGCATCTAGAAGCACAGAGCAGCACAAAGAGGCCCTCAGTCAGGCCTAACACACACACACACTACAATCAGCTGTTACAGGACTTCAACTGGACTAGCATACACACAAACATGCATACACATTTCCTCACTAGCACAACATATTTAGCTTACATTGTGTTTTGGTAGCTCCGCAAACATGGAGCATCCACTTGAGTGCTAAACGACAGCAGCCATTGTGTGCCAGAAGAACCTGAATGGGATCCAGTGAGCATGTCTGAGGTGTAAGACTTCAAAGTAGTCTGCTGTATAAGGAGAGATATTTTCAAACCAATGTTTTGTACAGGATCATTACTCTGTTGATGGTTGAAGTAGAATTGTCATTGTGACTTTTGTTTTGCACTGGTTCTCCCAGCTGTGAACGTATGAGAAACCAGCACTACATTTCTCCTATGGTAATGGAATAGTTTGCCGCAACATCAACTTTTAGGCGTTATTGTTTGTGAAAACTGAAAACTCTCATATTTTATGCCATCTGTTTTGTAGGTCTGGTTTGTAGGTCACATTTGTGTGCATTTGGAAAAAGCTGCAGGCGTGAATCCCAAATAAATAGGAAAAATATTGTGAGTTTATATGTTGCCTGTCTGTCTTTCCCATTAATATGGGACCGACGCCTGCTGATTTCTCAAAACACATACAGAATGATCTGCATTTTCTGATGGCATAAAATATAATAGTCAGGGGACTTTGTTACATCACTTTTAAGGAACAAGGAATTGGGAAGAATCTTAGATTTTTGGTATGAACTACCCCTTTAAATCTCCACACCCTGTCAATGAGTGATTGTTCATGTGGCCATCGTTTTTTAAAATACATTCACTAATGGTAAAAAATGTGTGCTTGTACAGGGACAAAGTATTAAACTGTAGTGCTGTTTATATTTTGCTGTTTTTAAATAAAGGTAGACTTAAGGTTATTTGTTATTAATTAAGTTGGTGGTTTTAATTAGTCTCCACAAACTCTGTTCCTCCCATTGGCTCACCTTCTAGAGTCAGTGACCAATTATGGTATGGAACGATTTCAGTAATAGTATTTGAATCATTTTGAATTTGTATTAGGATATTGAATTAATTGTTTTATGTTTAATGCATTAATGGATTGAATTCATCATTTTAACTTGTATTTCATGATTTGAAACTGAATTATATTAATATTTATGGTAGATATTGCATTCAGTGTCTATCAAGTTTACAAACCATCATTTGAAGTTATTCAAAGTTTCTTATATTCAATTTCTCTAAATTCACATTCAAAACCAGAGACAACATCCTGGTACTTTGCCAGCCAGGAAAGGTAGAGGAGAACAAATACACTACATGACCAAAAGTGTGTGGAGACCTGCTCGTCGAACATCTCATACCAAAATCACGGGCATTAATATGGTTTTGGTCCCCCCTTTCCTGCTATAACAGCCTCCACTCTTCTGGGAAGGCTTTCCACTAGATGTTGGAACATTGCTGTGGGGACTTGCTTCCATTCAGCCACGAGCATTAGTGAGGTCGGGCAATGATGTTGGGCGATTAGGCCTGGCTCGCAGCCGCCGTTTCAATTAATCCCAAAGGTGTTTGATGGGGTTGAGGACAGGGCTCTGTGCAGGCCAGTCAAGTTCTTCCGCACCGATCTCGAAAAACCATTTCTGTATGGACCTCGCTTTGTGCACGGGGGCATTGTCATGCTGAAAAACTAAAGGGCCTTCCCCAAACTGTTGCCAAAAAGTTGGAAGCACAGAATCGTCTACAATGTCATTGTATGCTGTAGCGTTAAGATTTCCCTTCACTGGAAGTAAGGGGCCTAGCCTGAACCATTATTCCTCCACCAAACGTTATAGTTGGCACTATGCATTCGGGCAGGTAGCGTACTTCAGGCATCCGCCAAACCCAGATTTGTCTGTGGGACTGCCAGATGGTGAAGTGTGATTCATCACTTCAGAGAACGCATTTCCATTGCTCCAGAGTCCAATGGCGGCGAGCTTTACACCACTCCAGCTGACGCTTGGCATTGCACATGGTGATCTTAGGCATGTGTATGGCTGCTTGGCCATGGAAACCCATTTCATGAAGCGCCAGACCAACAGTTCTTGTGCTGATGTTGCTTCCAGAGGCAGTTTGGAACTCGGTAGTGAGTGTTGCAACCGAGGACAGACTATTTTTACACGCCACGCGCTTCTGCATTCGCCAGTCCCATTCTGTGAGCTTGTGTGGCCTACCACTTCGCGGCTGAGCCGTTGTTGCTCCTAGACGTTTCCACTTCACAGTAACAGCACTTATCGTTGACATGGGCAGAAATTTGATGAACTGACTTGTTGGAAAGGTGGCATTCCAAGACAATGCCATGTTGAAAGTAACTGAGCTCTTCAGTAAGGCCATTCTACTGCCAATGTTTGTCTTTGGAGATTGCATGGCTTTGTGCTCGATTTTATACACCTGTCAGCAACGGGTGTGGCTGAAATAGCCGAATCCACTAATTTGAAGGGGTGTCCACATACTTTTGTATATATAGCGTATAATCAAACACTCTCTGTGGTAAACAAAAGCTTCTGGCAGTTTCAGAAGCCGATGTGACATCTTGAATATATTTTCTTCCAATGAATTTGGTGCTAACGTTTGAACAGTTTTGGTTATAAGCTATTATGATCCCATTTCTGAAACCTAAGACTCTCTGGAGCATGGATGTGCTTTCTGTCCCCCTCTATGATGATCACAGGCCGTGTTAGAAGGGAGTGTCACACAAAAAACGCAATTTGGCCCCAATAATACCCTCCCTTTTGCCATCAGAACAGCCTCAATTCGTCGAGGCATGGACTCTACAAGGTATCGAAAGCGTTCCACAGGGATGCTGGCCCATGTTGACTCCAATGCTTCCCACAGTTGTATCAAGTTGGCTGGATGTCCTTTGGGTTGTGGACCATTCTTGATACAAACGGGAGGAAAACATTTGAGTGTGGAAAAACCCAGCAGCGTTGCAGTTCTTGACAGAAACCAGTGTGCCTGGCACCTACTACCATACGCAGTTCAAAGGCACTTAAATGTTTTGTCTTGCCCATTTCCCCCTCTGAATGGCACACATACACAATCCATGTCTCTGTTGTCTCAAGGCTTAAAAATCCTTCTTTAACCTGTCTCCTCCCCTTCATCGACACAGATAGAAGTGGATTTAACAGGTGACATCAATAAGGGATCATAGCTTTCAACTGGATTCACCTAGTCAGTCTATGTCATGGAAGAGCAGGTGTTCTTAATGTTTTGCACGCTCAGTGTATGAAACGTTGATTAACTTGAAGTCATGGTTTGTAAACTTGATACATACACAATGAATGCAATATCTAGCATATTGAAACTGAATATATACATATTGAATTCAAATATTCAATTAAATTGAAATGGTATTTTAAAACTGAATGCAATATTCATTCAGTTTCAAATAATGAAATACAAGTGAAATGTATGACTTCAATGATTCAATTTGTGCATGAAACATTCAACAATATTACATTCAAATTCAATATAATACAAATTATAAAATTAAAATACAAAACGAAATCCTTATCATATTCAAGGCTTTAAAGACAATCAGAAGATTAGGTTTGGGGTCCAATGGTTAGACGGGATCACAGCAGGACAGCTCAGGCCTGCCTCGGGGGGAGAAAGGATTAGAAACTTGAGGGATGGTGGAGGCTGACTGCTTTCCTTGAGAAAACGGGAGTGAAATGAGGTACGATAATGGATTTTGTGGCGACGGTCGAGTGGAAAAAGGCTACAGAGACAAAGGGGAACCACAGGAACTTCTGTTATGAGTGTGGGAACTTACTGCCTCAACCTAAACTGCAGGAGACAGTCTACTGTTCCCGCTGTGAGGAATGGAAGAGGAAAGAGAGGAAGAAGGTGTCGAAGAGAATGAGGAAAGCAGAGGTTGAATTTGATGAAGATGGCGATAGAAAGGGAGATGGGGGTGAAGAAAACTGGTGGCAAGTACAAACAGAGTGAATGAGGGCGAGTTAAGGGAAGTGGAAGGTGCAGTAGTGTTAAGTGTGGAGGTGGAGCAATTGAAGTTGAATATTCCCGGTGTTTGTGACGCCTGCCGTTTGGTGCGACGCAGGTCTTGTGGTGAGCATGGGGAAGTAGAGGAGTCACTGTCTGTCTTTTTGAGTTTTGAATCAGTCTTTACCCGACAAAGTCATGTTAGGATATATCAAGTGATGGTGTTAAGAGTTTTTGTGCAGAACCCATTGCAGTGTTTCAGGTTCCACCTGTATGGTCATGTTGCAGCAGTGTATAGGAGGGAGATTCCAAGATGTGGGAAGTGTGCAGGAGGGCATGGGACAGAGGAATGTGTCGTTTCGGTGGGAAATGTTGTGTCAAATGTAGAAGTGCCCATGTTGCTGGGGATCGGAAGTGTCCGAGAGAGGCAGGCTGAGGTGGTCAGAATAGTACAGAAGTTGTCATGCTGAGGCAGTGAAGAAAGTTGAGGATGGGTGAGGGATGCTGAGAGGATCCCGGTGAATAGTAGATCTGTGCAGCACAGCGGGATAGGTCAACGAGTGATATATGCTTCATTAAGGTTGGATTATTTGTGTTTATAGCTATGGTTTTCAACTGTACAGCAGAGATGGAACGTAAGTCACAGAAAATAGATGTTGTGGTGGCAGCGACAGAGAAGTATTTGGGGGTACAATGTTTTGACTTCAGAAGAGTTACAGGGTGTGTTGAGTGGTGGTGTCCTTTCCTCCCAGGTTGTTGGGGTAGGGGCAGATGGGGTTAAATAGTGGAATAGGGCAGGGTTTCCCAAAGTCAGTCCTGGGCCCACCCTGGGTGCACCTTTTGGCTTTTGCCCTAGCACTACACAGCTGATTAAAATAATCAAAGCTTGATGATAAGTTGGTTACTTGAATCAGCTGTGTAGTGCTAGGGCAAAAAACAAAATGGGTGTGTGTGGGAGGGGGCAGGACCGAGTTTGGGAAACCCTTGAATAGGGTGGTGGGTTTTAATGAGTGTAGGGTTAGATGCAGTGGAGGCTGGTGAGAGGGGCTATAAGAAGACAGGCTCATTGTAATGGCTGACATTGAATAAATGGAACTGAGTCAAATGTGGTTTTCATGTTTGCAGTGTTTGATACCATTCCATGTATTCCTCCTATAGCTCCCCCACCAGCCTTCTCTGGTTAGATGGTAGGGTACATTTTTTTTCTTTCATTGTGTGGATCAAAGTATAATGGATCCAGTGGTAGCAAAGATATTTCTAACTAACACAAGATAGTTCATCTGTGTCGTTTACAGTGGTAGCAAATGAAGCATAGTGGGCAGAACAAGAAAGGAGGTGGGTAAAGCGAAGCAGGAGCTAGCGAGATCCAATTGGTGTGTTATAGCTTGTATTTGCATATCTCCATTAGGGAACGCCTCCTGTGTGAAGTGCGCGTATGCACAAACTCAATTGGACTAGCACTCCTAAACAAAGCAAAATAAATATACACTGCTCAAAAAAGAAAGGGAACACTAAAATAACACATCCTAGATCTGAATGAATGAAATAATCTTATTAAATACTTTTTTCTTTACATAGTTGAATGTGCTGACAACAAAATCACACAAAAATTATCAATGGAAATCAAATTTATCAACCCATGGAGGTCTGGATTTGGAGTCACCCTCAAAATTAAAGTGGAAAACCACACTACAGGCTGATCCAACTTTGATGTAATGTCCTTAAAACAAGTCAAAATGAGGCTCAGTAGTGTGTGTGGCCTCCACGTGCCTGTATGACCTCCCTACAACGCCTGGGCATGCTCCTGATGAGGTGGCGGATGGTCTCCTGAGGGATCTCCTCCCAGACCTGGACTAAAGCATCCGCCAACTCCTGGACAGTCTGTGGTGCAACGTGGCGTTGGTGGATGGAGCGAGACATGATGTCCCAGATGTGCTCAATTGGATTCAGGTCTGGGGAACGGGCGGGCCAGTCCATAGCATCAATGCCTTCCTCTTGCAGGAACTGCTGACACACTCCAGCCACATGAGGTCTAGCATTGTCTTGCATTAGGAGGAACCCAGGGCCAACTGCACCAGCATATGGTCTCACAAAGGGTCTGAGGATCTCATCTCGGTACTTAATGGCAGTCAGGCTACCTCTGGCGAGCACATGGAGGGCTGTGCGGCCCCCCAAAGAAATGCCACCTCACACCATGACTGACCTACCGCCAAACCGGTCATGCTGGAGGATGTTGCAGGCAGCAGAACATTCTCCACGGCGTCTCCAGACTCTGTCACGTCTGTCACATGCTCAGTGTGAACCTGCTTTCATCTGTGAAGAGCACAGGGCGCCAGTGGCGAATTTGCCAATCTTGGTGTTCTCTGGCAAATGCCAAATGTCCTGCACGGTGTTGGGCTGTAAGCACAACCCCCACCTGTGGACGTCGGGCCCTCATACCACCCTCATGGAGTCTGTTTCTGACCGTTTGAGCAGACACATGCACATTTGTTGCCTGCTGGAGGTCATTTTGCAGGGCTCTGGCAGTGCTCCTCCTGCTCCTCCTTGCACAAAGGCGGAGGTAGCAGTCCTGCTGCTGGGTTGTTGCCCTCCTACGGCCTCCTCCACGTCTCCTGATGTACTGGCCTGTCTCCTGGTAGCGCCTCCATGCTCTGGACACTACGCTGACAGACACAGCAAACCTTCTTGCCACAGCTCGCATTGATGTGCCATCCTGGATGAGCTGCACTACCTGAGCCACTTGTGTGGGTTGTAGACTCCGTCTCATGCTACCACTAGAGTGAAAGCACCGCCAGCATTCAAAAGTGACCAAAACATCAGCCAGGAAGCATAGGAACTGAGAAGTGGTCTGTGGTCACCACCTGCAAAACCAGTCCTTTATTGGGGGTGTCTTGCTAATTGCCTATAATTTCCACCTGTTGTCTATTCCATTTGCACAACAGCATGTGACATTATTGTCAATCAGTGTTGCTTCCTAAGTGGACAGTTTGATTTCACAGAAGTGTGATTGACTTGGAGTTACATTGTGTTGTTTAAGTGTTCCCTTTTTTGTTTTTGAGCAGTGTGTATATATATATATATATATATATAGGCAAAGCGTCAAGTCTATAAAACCTAGTGCACTGTGTTCGTAACATATTCTGGTTTTGGGAACAGAAACATTTATTGAAAAATGTATGCACTCACTAACTGTAAGTCGCTCTGGATAAGAGCGTCTGCTAAATGACTAAAATGTAAAATGCCAGATGTTTCATCGATGAGAAAATTATCAGAACGTTGGCCCAGTTTAGCCTAGTTCCATCCTCTCCCACTATTCGCGACTGGACTTGTTCTCACTACCATATTTGGTGGTGAGAAAACGTTCTAAACGGATGCTTCAGATTTATAGCCCCTGTGAGGTGTCTGGTTTACCCCTTCTGTCTTTGGTGGTAGTTTCAGCATGAAAGGAGGCGGGCAAGGAATGTAACAGCGGAAGATTCAAAATGGACATGGCGGCGGAAAACCCCCCCAACGAAAACAAACAAAACAGAAGGTAGAGATATCATCAAACAGTGTTGACTTCCGAACAGTTTGCACGATAACACAATTACACTCATTATGTGGCTATGACTGTTGCTATCTATCAAACGCCTAATGTTACTCAACCAGCTGGAGAGATAGATTTGGCTAGCAAGGAGTTAGCCAACTGGCTAACTAACTTCCCTAGCCATGCTACGTTCGTTAGCTAGCTATCCAGCTACATACTTGATTGATATAAAGGGTTTGCAAATTGGTATATTCAAGACATAGTTGCTTGTTGGTTCCTTGATAAATCAGGTCTGAACATTCTTTCTAGGTAACATTAAGTAGCTAATTAGCTGCTAAACAATAACAACCAGACTAATGTCTGTACTCTCTCCCCTCCCACCCCAGCGGGACCGTGTGCAGTGTAGTGATCTCTCAGGACCCTGCACCCCAGCCTATCATCTTCAACCCAGATTTCTTAGTGGAGCGTCTGAGACATGAGCGTCCCCAGGTGTTCACAGAGCTGGTCCTCAGTAACATCACCAGGCTCATAGACCTGCCTGGGGATGAGTTTGCCCAGCTCACAGGAGAGGCAGACCCCAGACTGCCTACAGCACACACAGGCTTCCTACGCTCTCTCAACTTTCTGAAACGCAAAGGTGAACTTACCGTAATGTTGTGTACTCGACACACACACACACTGAGGTCTTTGTGTCGTGTGCATCTCAAAGGTCCTGTGCTGTCCATTCACTCCAAACCTTTTTGTGATTTCCAGACAAAGGAGTGGTGTTTGGTGCTACTCTGACGGAGGAGGGCATAGCACAGATCTACCAGCTGATTGAATACCTCAGCAAGAGTGAGCTCTACAATTATCCCATCTTTACAAGCTCACCTTTCTGCCTTCATCTAGAAATAAAAATACCATTTGCTTTCTCAACGTTTTGTAGGAGTGTTCTAATTCCACATGTTTTAATCTCCTAGTTCTGTCCTCCACTCGACTTCCTGGCTGAAGCACCTAATAGGCTTTCTGTACGTTAGTTCCTGGCCCAGTCTGTCTTTAGTGTTAATATCTAGTCTGAGCGCTGAATGAGTGAGTAGGTATGAGCTCATGGTCTATTTCCTGCTCTAGTGATGTCATCATCTGAAAGTGGACTCTAGGATAGAGCAAGGGAGTCAATAATTCAGCTGAAAACACTTTACTCTCCTATTTTCTGTTTCTGTCTGACCTCTTTCTCTCTCCTCTCTTGCATTTCTCTGCCCCCCCCCCCCCCCATTCTCTCACCACTGCTTCTCTCTCTCTCTCATACACCTCCTTCTCCCTACTTATCTCTTCCCCTTCTCTCTATCCGTATGTAATCCGTCTCTCTCAGACCTCCATGTGGAGGGGTTGTTCCGTGTGCCAGGCCACAGCCTGCGGCAGGCAGCCCTGAGAGAGATGTTGAATGCCGGGACAGAGATAGACCTGGAGACCGGGGACTTCCATCCTAATGATGCTGCCACCCTGCTTAAAGCCTTCCTAGGAGAGCTGCCCGAACCCCTACTCACACACAGACACTACCACGCCCATCTGAAGATAGCAGGTAACACACACACAACAACAAGCCATATAACCTAAATATACCAAACATTAGGAACACCTTCCTAATATTGAGTTGCACCCTTGCTTCTGAATGGCACACATACACAATCCAGGTCTCAATTGTCTCAAGGCTTAAAAATCCTTCTTTAACCTGTCTCCTCCCCTTCTTCTACACTGATTGAAGTGGATTTAACAAGTGACATCAATAATGGATCATAGCTTTCACCTGGATTCACCTGGTCAGTCTATGTATTGGAAAGAGCAGGTGTCCTTAATGTTTTGTACGCTCAGTGTATGTGTTAAAATATAAAACTATTTTTGGATACAAGTCTGCCAAATAACCATATTATTTTCATAACGTTTGGTTATCATCTCCAGAGCTGACCCAGTTTGATGAGAAGGGGAACAAGACTTCAGTACCAGATAAGGAGCGTCAGATCGAGGCCTTCCAGCTGCTGTTCATGCTGCTTCCTCCAGCCAACCACAGTCTGCTCAAACTGCTCCTGGACCTGCTCTACCACACCGCTCGCAACCAGCACAACAACAAGATGTCTGCCATCAACCTGGCCACCATGGTGGCTCCACACATCATCTGGCCCAAACATGTACGTCTAGATCAAATCAAAGTTTATTGGTCGCGTACACAGTTTAGCAGATGTTATAGCGTGTGCAGCGAGATGCTTATGTTACTAGCTCCGAACAATGCAGTAAAATGTCAAACAAAACAATCGCTTTCTCTCTCTCACCATCCCTCTCTCCCATCAGTTGATTATTGTTGTGTCTTTACTCATTAGTATTGTTGTGTGTCTTTTCCAGGTGCGAGCCAGCGACCTCCAGGGGAACATTAAGAAGCTAAACAACGCAGTGGCTTTCCTCATCAAACACTCACAGAAACTCTTCAGGGTGAAAATTGACTGGCTAACATTCATTCTCCACCAGCCATTCTTAATCAATATCCTTATTCATTACCCTTCCCTCTGTAGCACTCAATCATCTGGATTCTGGAACAATAACTGGCAGGGGTTTTCACCTGAGTCAATACTGTCTATCTGCATCATAGTCAATCATTTCACATGTCAATCACAGTTTTGGAAAGTTACGTCAACTAAAACCTGTGAGTTTTGTGTGTCTAAATAAGTCTTCTTTCTCTAAACAATGACAAAGGTGGTACATTTGTGTGTTTTTACTAAAGGCTCCTGCGTACGTCAAAGAACACGCCTGCATGCATTTTACAGGATCAACCACCTCCCAGTTTACGGTGAGTACACTACAGAAACTCTGTCTAGTTGAAATTCGATCACTGCACACTTTTGGAACTATTTCACTGTGTCGGGCGACCTAAATCAAGCATGTCTTCTGTCAGGGAATACATTCTCACATTCAGCTAATACCTGTTATCAATTCCCCCCTCTCCTCCCCATCAGGATGGCCTGGCTCTGTGTGGTGGGGGTGCTCACCCCTCAACCTCTAAGAGGGCTGGTGGGGGTGTGATGTATACAGATGGGACCACCACCAGTCACACACACACTGAGCTGGCCCTCAGAGAGCTTTACCAACAGGTCAGCAGCATGCCTGAGTCTGCCAAGAAGAAGAAACTCATCAGACAGGTGAGACACACACGCCTACACCTGTATTTGCGGAATGTGCAGAAATAATGAGTGTTTGGCCAAGGTGGCGGCAGGTAGCCTAGCGGTTAAGAGTGTTGGGACAGTAACCAAGAGGTCGCTGGGTCGAATCCCTGAGCCGACTAGATGAAAAATCTGTCGACGTGCCCTTGAGCAAGGCACTTAATCCTAATTGCAACAGGGTCGCTGTCAATAATGGCTGATCTCTGGCCGTGACCCCACTCTCAGAGGATGTCTCACTTGTGAAAATAGGACCAATGTAAGCACCCTCCTAATTATTATTAAGACTGTTTCGCTGTAAGTGTGTGTAGTCTGGGTAAAGTGTTTTTGTGTATGTTGTGTAGTTTGCTAAGCAGGTCCCTGGGACGCCAGTGAGTGACCAACAGACCCTGCACTCGAATAGGAAACATCGTCGCTCGCGCTCCTTTGGAGGAATCATCAAGGTATCATCAATTATTTTAAATAATAACTAAATGTTCCGTCAATCCCAGCAAAATGTTACATACAGTATGTGTGCTTTTAATGCTATGTTTGTGTGTGTACAAGAGGAGAGCATTAGGTACCCAGGGCCCAGTGGAGAAGGGTAGCAGCAGCACTAGCCTGGTGACTCCAGGACCCAGCAGCTCAGCGGACAGACAGGAGATGGAGGACATCAGCTTTGGATGGGTAAGTACTCTACACCACTCCATAGCTAAGTCACTGTATGTGTGCGTAATAGGAGCGGTATAGTGAAGTGTTACTTTGTCTCAGGTTCAAACCAAACAAATGAAACTGTCCGTTTGACTGGTGGGCAGCATGATTCACAGCTATAAACCTGTCACCAGTTGGTGACTGCGTCGTTCTCCCCATTACTAATATGATATTAATGGTAGAATATGTTCATAATATGGTAATTTAGAATGACATATATGCAGGGCTCCAAACCACAGCACTGGTGAGCCAGTTAAACCATGACTACTGCATTGTGGTATGGATGGTGTCTTACCGTTAGCTCATCAACCAGTGGCTAACCACAGGGCAGAACTCCCTACCTCAGCTCTCCCCAATGGGGTTTATTTGAGTGACATTGTCGGATGGGTTTGGCGCAAAGGTTAAGTAGAACGGACATAACTCTGAAATACATGGGGTTGTTCTCTCTCTTTTCTCTCTCAGGATTCCTCGTCTCTTAAAAGGATGTGCTTTTCGCCAACGCAGGAGACGTCTGTCTAGCAGTCAGCTCAGCTCACCCACAGAACATTCTCCTCTCACTCTCAAAAACATTTCTCTAACTTGGTTTTAAAATGAATCTTTTAACAAACAGGGAGACACCGAGAGATAGTTACAGTCAAGTCATTTACAAGCCAAATAATGTGATGTGTCTTAAAAGCAGTAGAACCATGCTTGGCCAGTGAATTCCTTTTAATATCTTCCTTGTTCTGTTTGGAAAGAGACGACACAACAAATGTACACCTTTGTCGTTCAGGTCAAGTAAGAGTTAGAATGACTAGAAAAACCAGTGAGAACCAAATTAAACCCACATTGTGTTTTACTTCTCTTAAAACTTTTGCATGTGTTTTGAGTTAATGTTACTACTGTGTAAAGCATGCTATGTGGACAAACATTGTCTCAGGTAGGTAGAAGTAAGCTGGATATAGGGAGTTTGCGCTGGATTGTAGCAAATTACTGGATGGTTAAAAAAGGATGGTTAAATTCCGATTGACAACACGTTTAAGTTAAGCAAAGTGTTTTGAGTGCCTTCAAATTATATTAGCAAAGTAGTAAAGTTGAGTTGTGATGCATTATATTTTATATAATCTTTATTTAAGCCTGTAAATCCCATTGAGATAGTCTAATGTATTCCAGTTGGTGTAGCTGTGGAGGCAGTAGCATCGTCAATGTGGCTGTTTATAATTGTGTTCAGACTTAGCAGAGCGATGGGGATGAGTGTGAAAGAAAGATGGAGGGAGAAATTAGTGAGAGTGAAGGCTTGGAACATGGTATGTAGGGCTATGACTAGGGGTTTTCCTGGTCGGGTCACGTGTTAAGGAAAACCTAGTAGACGTCAATGAGACCAACGGAGTAGGCGTAGCTAATGCTCTAGTGTTATTACAACTGGTGTGAACTCACTGTTTATTCTTTAGCCACAGTCTTAATCTGTCAACACTGTGATTTTCTCTCTATTTAAATACTTTTTTTTTTTTAACTTTTTTTTTACTTTTCTGAGACTACAACCAAAATGTGTATTAATGGTCAGTTTTTTAAAATATATTCTTTTTTTTTATCCACTTATGTTTTATGCAATATTTTATGCAATGTCCTTTTGATTCTGTTACAAAAAAGTTTTGCTATGCAATCTGTGTTACAATATTAGTTATTTCATATCGAACATTGTTATCCATGGTTTAGGCCTATCTGCATTGGTTCTCTATGTTTATACCTATTTTTCAGATTTAGTCAGACATTGAGCGCTGAATCCGGACAAGATTCAACCATATCTTCACACAAGTCCTCTACCAACATGAATTATTTATTTTTGTGGAAATGGGAATATATATTTCTGTGTCAGCGGCATTACCATGTCAAACGATTCTGTTATACTGATCTGACGATGAGCATCAGAATTCTGTCTGTTAAATGTGAATGTGCTACATGCCACCGGGTCTGAGTAGCACTATGTACAACAGCTTGTCTGTCATTATTGGCACTAATGTGAAGCTATGCAACAAACTGCCATTAAAAGATAATGAAACAAACATATTTATTTCCTTCATTGTTATACGTTGTGTGAAATATTGATAATCAACAGAGACAAAGTTTTAAACTGAAATGATGTCATGCTGAAGATTGACTGTGATTGAAGACTTTAAAATATGGCCAGGTTATGTTTAATGTACATGTTTTAGTATTTAATTTATTTATAGGTATTTAGTGAATTTGATCTCTTTGGTTTTGTCTGCTAAACTGCCTGGAACTAGTGACCGGTCTGCAGTGACTGAGTGCAGTTGAAATTTTAACCACAAGATGGAGCACTTGAGATGCAAATGCTCAGCCTTTTGTGAAGACACCCTGAAACCACTTCAGTAGATGTTTAGTGTTAAATATTTTCTGACAATTATTTTTCAGCTTGGAAACGTGTATAATTTTTTTAACTCTGTCTCTACTTTGCTATAACTAAGATGTTCAGAAAAAGTGAGTATACATTTAAATAAGTGTGTTTATCTTGTCCCTGGTAATAATAATGTATGCACTCACTAACTGTAAGTAGCTCTGGATAAGAGCTTCTGCTAAATGACTAAAATGTCAAATGAAAGTGAAAGTCCCCTGTAGCTCAGTTGGTAGAGCATGGCGCTTGCAACGCCAGGGTTGTGGGTTCGTTTCCCACAGGGGGGCCAGTATGAAAATATATGCACTCACTAACTGTAAGTCGCTCTGGATAAGAGCATCTGCTAAATGACTAAAATGTAAAAATGTAATGATATATGACATCATACACTTTCCTTACAGTTTAATTTAGACTTTTGTTCCTGGAATGTTTCTATATATGTCTGCAGTTGACGTTTCTCCTGGTAACCCTGTGAGTAAGGAGAGGGGTATGATAGAAAAGGGGGTCAAAGAACTGAAGTTATCCACAATGCAGGTGATGGGAACGTGTGAGTCATGATGGTGTCTGTGTTGTTGCATGTTTGGTATTGGAAGTATACGTTGTGCACATCTGTGTGTGAGTGTGTGCACGCCTCTTAATGTGTGTGTGTGTCGTGTATATGTTGTACACAGGTTTTACAGACCTCCAGCAGGTGACTGCTCTCGCTCTCCGGTCCTGTAAATACACAACAGGACAACAGCGACCGTGCTTGAAATACCAATGGTCACTACTGTATATAGTTACCACGTCAAACTCAGGAGTTTTATTTAGAATTTGTTCTTCAGACACAGTTTGTCCCAAGCTCATTCAGACACACATCCATACCCAACCCCATAAGTAACATTCCCCAGCTATGCATAGCAGGGGTGCAACTTTGGTTTTGGAAGTGGGGGGGACATTACTTTATTATTCTTTTTGAAATCCAGTCGGATGAACACTCCAAACTGCCTACCCGACCGCTCTGAGGCGTCTGCATGGTCCTAAAGCACACCGTTGCCTTGTTTTGTATCACATTCCAATGATAAAACTGGGGGGGGGGGGGACAAAAATGCAATTTCTGAATGTGCTCGTCCCCAGTAAAAGTTGCGCCCCTGATACATAGTGTTGTTTTAGAATAATTAAAAATAAAACTTCACACCACTCTTCTATTTTCTCTCTTTGGTAAAACTCTAGTTACTACTAAATTACTACACAAACAAAAGAGACATGCGCCTGAGCCTTGCAGTTGACTTCATTTATTTTCTGTATGAGTTGTGGTGCTGTCTGCAGTTTGCCAGTTCTCTTAAGTGCAAATTGGTGTCGTCCCTTCCCACGTCTAGGACAAACGGAGAGGTGTGTGTGTGTGCATTCCATTCCCAGCTTTGTAAGAGAGCGGATGGACAGGGAGAGACGCCTCCATTACGCCCTAAACACCACCCTCTCCCCTGTGTTCAGGACCCATGTTAGGAAGATCTACACACCACTGACTCTTTTACTGGGCCAGATGGATCCCTCTCTACAACGTGTGTCTGACGGGGCCTGGGAAGGACGGAGCACACCTCTCTGCTTGTTTGTACAGTACCTCATCTCCCTCAGTCTCTCTCTCTGTCTTTTTCTCCTCTCTCTGTCTTTGTCAGCCAGAGACTGGGGTTCCAGGATCCTTCAGGTTCTGTTATAGTGTTTGTGTTGGGATGGTTCCACCACAGTGCATGCAGGAAGAGATGAAGTGGAGGGTTTGACACAGTGAGCTGTGCAGAGCCGGAGCACAGAGCCAAGCCAGAGGTGTTTATTTCATTGTGTGTAGAGAGGTTGGAGACTAACAGTCTACTAATGTCCAAGTCCTTATATTAGGTGGTCATAAATGTAAATTCTGTATGTATGTATACACACATACGTACATACACACACACGTACACAATCCTTTGTGATGCTGGGGACACACACTGGGGACAGGGGTTGACCAGTGTCACACAGGTTACTGCTCTCTGCTCTACAGTGGCTGCCTGGAGGCAAGCCTGGGAGAGAATGAAATGGAGAATAAAGGACAGAGAGAGAGTTGTGAGGGTGAGAGAGAAAATGAGGGACTAAAAGACAGATTGAGAGAGAATGAGAGAGTTCAGGCAGGGTTCTGTAGGGGGGGGGGGGGGGGGGGGGGGGGGAGGGAAGGGGGAGGGGTGGAGTCAGGGGTCTGCTATTTGTAGATCCTTGTGATGGATGACTGCTGTGTGTAGGAGAGAGAGATAGGCTTTTCTTCATTCTGCTCTTTCCCCATTCCCCCTATCCAGACAAGCAGAGCAGAGCGGGACAGAGAGAGAAGAGACGTGAGCGAACGAGTGCAGAACAGAACAACTCCACAAAGAGAAGAGAGAGGTGGATAGTTCCCTTTGCAAGGAGAGAAAAAGAGAAGAAAATCAAGCCTTTCAGAATACATTACCAACTAAAGGACATTACTTATTTCTAGCCCTATTTTATGTTGTAACAGTTAGATTTCTTTCTCATTCTACAAGAGCCTACACACTGATTGTAGAAAACTTGTAGTGTAGTAGGACTTTGGGATTTTGCAAAGAGAGGGAGAAAGAAAGAGAAAAGGCTTTTTTGGAGTCAGGTTTTGAGAAACAGGAGGCTGCAGTCGTGGAGATCATGCCCGGTAGAGGAGCTTGTTCTGGGGCAGGCGTGGGGAGGTTGCCTGGATACTGGGTGTGTGTGCTGGTTCTCTGTGCCCTGGTGACAGGCTATGTCAGCGCGTGCCCTGCCTTGTGTACCTGCAGTGGCACCACGGTGGACTGTCATGGGCTGGGCATCAAAACCATGCCCCGGAATATACCTCGCAACACAGAGAGACTGTAAGTATTTACTTCTGTACCATACCATACCTGTGTGTGTGTGTGTCTGTCTGTCTCCATACTAAATGTGTGTATTTGTCTGCCTGTCCCTGGTTCCCTGTCTCTGTGTATCTGTGTATCTGGTTTCTATGTGTGTGGTGGTGCACATGACTTTGCTGAGACAGAAAGAGAACAATAGCCCTGAGTGGTGTGTATGTGTGTGTGTGTGTGTGTGCGTGCATTGCATTCCAGTCAGGTATAAATAGGCATGAAGGAAAGAGCAGGAGCAGATGTATGCCGTTCATGGTCCATGATTTACATACCTGGCGTTGTTTTGTGTATGTGTGTGTGTTCATACTTGCTCACACAGTAAAATGTATACATGTTCACCGCAAAATGTGGAAATGCTCCAGTAATTAAGTTAAGCTTAATATAATTAATACAATTGACAGTTAATCTTCACTATTTCACCTTTTCTATGTTGAAAAATGTTACTGTGAGATGATTAAATCAGTAAATTTTTATTGATGTGGTGGTATGGCATTTGTATATATAAGCTGAATTTCACTGCATATTTGCATTTTTTATTTCAATCTTCTCTAACGCAAAATAATCCATTTTTAATTAAACTCCCTCTAGACAAGATGTAAAGAAATGTTACCCTACATTCTGTTGGTTTCAGGACACTGTGTATTCTCCTGATGATATAGTTAGTTCTCTATCTGCAGACTGGATCCTCTCTTTTTACTCTCTCTCTCTCTCTCTCTCTCTCTCTCTCTCTCTTTCCCTCTCCTGCACCAGCCCTCCCTCCCTCTTGCAGACCCCCTCTCCCCAAATTGTTAAATCATGTAGAAAATTAAGCAGATCTGCTCCTTAAGTGTGTCCTGCCTGTGAGAAGATCTGCTAGACGTCTTGTACAAGGAAGGAGAAAGTGGAAGGAAAGAGATTTCTCCTTTTATGGATTTCCTTTTGAAATATTCATCTGTAAATCAGTGGTGAGGAGAGGAGGAGGAGAGGTGAGGGAAATAGATTGTTCTGTTTCAGCTTCTAGAATAGCTCAGATGAATAAAATATGTTGTGGGAATGGATGAGAGAGAGAAGAGAGAAAGCAGAGCAGAGGAGAGAAACACTTGTGTCAGAAGCAGCGTTTGCGTAGCGGGAGCTGACTGCATATTTCTTGAATTCCATATTTAATTTCTAAGAACACCTTTTTGTACCAGATGCATATGTCAGAGCTGCTTGTATGTTCACAGACAGAACACACACACACACACACACACACACACACACACACACACACACACACACACACACACACACACACACACACACACACACACACACACACACACAGACAGACAGACACACGCTTGGGACATTTTGTAGGGGGAAACATTATGATTTTGTGGTTTCCTTTTACATGAATAGCCGTTCGCACTGAGAGTGTACCATAGTTAACCTGAAGTGCATTTTATGTGTTGCAGTTAGTTTATGCATGTGTAGGTCATGTATACTAACTGTTATACCTGGGATTTGTAATGTGATTTCATGCTTCAAACCTTCTTGCTAAATAGGAAGGATTTATTTGCATCTCTGTGTATAGTTCTAGTAGAAGTTCACTCTTTGGCAGTTAGACTTTTAAGTTGTCAGTGTGTGCGTATGTCATGCAGATTTTATTATTTGGTAGTCAAGCGTTTAAAGCTTTCTGTTTATGTGCGCGTGTGTACGTGCGTGCATGTGTGTGTGTGTGTGTATGTATGTGTGTGTATGTGTGTGTGTGTATGTATGTGTATGTGTGTGTGTGTGTGTGTGTG